CTCTCTTGAATTCCCATTTGACTAGTTATATCATTGCTGTAGCAACTGTAGCTTGTGCTAACTCATTTCATTGTTTTTGTCTGCAGGACTGCTGGATTGGATTTGAGATGATAGTAAGTGTTTTGATTATTTCATGGCTGTGTATTATAGATCTTTTTAGCTTTTCTAAGATCGACAACTTCCTCCTTGTAGCACGGTTAGCTGTGGCCTGTGGGTTTAATTGGCTGTGTGCTTGTTTGAAAATTGAATTACTGCATATGGCCGGCCTACTTTTAGTGTTCTCCTTTCATGCATGTAAACCTTATATCTGGAATATGAATTTGCACCGACCCACGCATATGCACTGGATAATATGATTGTATTAACAGATGCTGCCATTCTAATTAGTGTTCCCTGTCACTCTTACTTTGCTGATCAGATTAGACATCTACTATACGTCTATACCCCCCTATTTATGGAACTTGAACTTCTTCTGCTATATTTTTTTAGTTTCTTTAATCTGTACTTAGTATAATAAAATTCAAAGTTAGATCATGTACACCTATGTGATTTCATCTACTACTTGTAAATATGCAAGTAATGTGACTTATTTTTCATTCTCTTTATTTTTATGATTGTATTACATTACATAATGTATCATGTATAGTGGCTCTAACGCAGTGTTTATTTGGTTTTGACAGGATTCGCTTTTGAAAGGTAATGAACTTGTTTGGACTACATTGCTAAATGAGCTGTGTAAGATGTCCGCCTGGTTGAAGGAGCCAACTATCCCATTCAATATCTCCATTAATCTTTTGGTCTAACTGAATTTCTGATTGTAATGTCCATCTGATTTATGTTTTACCCTTTGTCTTGATTGGAGAATTTTATAGCAACATGTTTATTCAAGCTAAGAGATTAAATTGATCTGTTGCGTCTTTTTTCTCTTGTTTTGGTCATCCCTCCTGGTTTCCTTCCCTTTACATTTTATGATATCCTTGCTCCAGTTTTTGCTTTTTTTTTTTTCGTCTCAGATACGATGATCTGTAAGGCTGATCTTGAATATACTTGGCAGAAAATTGTACACCTACAAAATGCTGAACTTGCGTTCTATGCATCTCTTCAATTTTTAAGAGAGTAGTTACGTCGTACATGAATAAGTTATGTGATGAGTAATTTTAATAGGTTTTACATTTTAATGATCTTTGTGAAATTCATACTTGGAGAGTTGGAGGGTGCTCCATTTTTATGATTTTAATTTCACTGCTAATGCCTACAATGGCTTAATTGAATTTACCCCTTTACCTGAGACTCCCAAACTAATTCAAATTAGGTCTTTTCATGCGTAAATTTTAGCAACAATTTTCCTAGATAAATGAAGTTTGAGGAAATCCTAGTTTATCTCCTTGATAATCAAAAGACAAAATTGTAAATAAATCAACAATTTGTCTAGTCTCGGGATATATTTGTAAATAAATCAATTATCGTGGGGTCTATTTTATAGTCATCATGGCATGATTGTAAATAAATCAATTATTGTGAAGTCCATTTTCAATAAAAAGTTTTGTAATCACGAACTTTTGTTTTTTCTTAATGGTAAAGCTTAAAACTTTTGGTTATCAATGATAATCACAAATTAATATTTTTAAACTAATGGTAACTTAAGTTAAACAAATAGTTAATTTCTTTACCATGGTTTAGCTATTGGACACTAAAAAGACAGAAATACCCTTATGTCTTTCCTCCTCCATCTTCTTCCTTTCTCAGCTCTTTCCACCTCCATCTTCTTCCATTAAAGCCACCACCACCATTGTTAAACTGCTGTTTAGGTCGGAAAAAAGAGGGCGGCGGCAGCACCAAATGCGGCGGCAGCAACGAATTCAATAAATTAGACCCCGAATTCAACAAAATCACGACAAATTCGACTCAAAACCAACAAATTAAATCCCAAAATCAACAAAATCGACCACTAATTCGACCTTAAATCAACATATTTAACCAAATCGACTCCAAAAATTAACAAATTCGACCCTTAAAGTAGCAATTCGACCCCCAAAATCAACAAATTTGACCCCTAAATCGACAAATTCGACTCCAAAAATCGATAAATTCGACCCCAAATCAACAAATTCGATCACAAAACCAACAAGTTTGACCCAAAAACCAACAAATTCGAACCCAAAACCAACAAATTCGACCCTAAAATCAACAATTTCGATAAATTCGACCCCCAAAATCAACAAATTCGACCCCAAAATCACCAAAAATAACCTTGAAATTTCAACCCAAATTCGGGAAACGAGACGGAATCGGGGAAGGGAGGAGGGTGGTTGATTCCGGCAAGGAAGGATGGCTGATTTTCGCGTCCCCGAGAAGCGGTTTTAATTTGGTGGTGATGATAGGAGAGAGAGGGTGAGTCGGGAATAAGGGAGGGGAACTCGTTTTGGGATTGGAGTGTTGTTGGTGGGGGTCTCCGGGCGGGGTAGAGGGTTGAGACGCGTCAGCCGCACCAAGCTAAAGGCCGGCAAAGGGAGGAGGGCTTGTGGTTGGCTGGTGGTCGAGGAGGGGTTTGGATTTTTTGTTTTTATTTTGTTTAAAAAAAATATTTTGAAGGGTATTAATGTAAATCTATTGTTACTTAACCTAAGATTAACCCTGGTTAATTGTTTAATGATGTTTTAATATCATTAATGTTACCATTAGCTTAATTTTATTAATTCGTGATTAATAATCAAAAGTTTCAGGTTTTACCACTGAGAAAAAAATAAAGTTCGTGATTACCAGAGAGAATTTCCCAAAAGTTTTTCAATTATTTTTTGCCATTCGATAAACATATTTTGTTTATCAAGAAGATAAACTTGTATTTTCTCTAAAAGTTCATTCCTCAAGAACACCTCTTTTACAAAATACTTCATAGATTTTAAATACTCTTTATGCCAGAAAGTGAATAATTTGTTTATGTACCTTGGGTTCTTTCGTTTTTGTTTCTGTTTTTTTTTTTAAATGTTTGTATATTTTTGTTGTGAGTTTTAAAATCAAGATAATTTCAACAAGTTTTACTAATTTTTTTTTCTTTTTATGAAATACTTTGTATATTATATGACTATTTTTTATTTAAAAAAAGTTGAAAATTACTGTGATATTGAACAAATTCTAGTTTTATTATTGAATCTACTTACTTGAAGTCACGTCTCATAGTCACATGCAGTTAATGCGAATAGGTAAACCCTTAATTGAGTTAGGGGCTTTTTCTTCATAAAATGGTTAATTTCGTTTGCAATTTGTTAAATTAAAATATCTTTTTACACGAAAGAGAATTGGCATGAATGATATCATTGATATGTATGAAGTTTTTGGAAAAGTAGTCCATATGTATTCTTATTTCTTAAAACTATTTTGGTTAGCTGAACTTTACTTGTTAAAGTTAATCTACAAAACCATCTTTATCTACATCTTAATTCTTGTAAATAGATAGCCTTTTCATAATATTGCATGTCTCACCCTCCTCTATTCAATGAAAATATAATCCTAACCCTAACATGCACCTATTCCTAGTGAATGTCCAGGGAAGAGACTAAAACCGCCAATCAGGTTTGAAAAATTGATTCGATTGATGGGACTTGGTATGATACATATGAGATCGATGAGATTAATTTTCAAATTTTAATCTAAACATTAGAATATTACATAATTAATTCTACAATTTATCTAAATTAAGGGCCTATTCTCATAGTTTATTTTCAGTTCAGTTCAGTTCAGCTTCTAATTTCCTTCAGTTCAGTTTAGTCCAGTTCAGTCAATGAGAACAAGACCTAAATTACTAACTAACTTATAAAAAAAAAAGTTTCAGAATTTCTTGTCCTATAGTATTGACTTAATAGTTGAGTTTGGTTATTCAAATGAGAAGTTTAATAGGCGAATAGAATGAACGATTCTTCTCCTACCTCAAAATATACGTTTCAAGTATTCTTCACTTTTTTTTTTGTTTTTTTTTTTAAATTTTACTGACTTAATAAAATGAAATATTATAATAATAGGACTATATATTGTGTTGAGTAAAATAAAGTACTCATGATCACACCATAACATTATGAGTGGTTTATTGAGTTGAAACAACATAAAAGGCGAGATTTTTTAGATTTACTAAGTAGATAAGTTTGGTTGCAAAAAATTGGTGACATCCTAGCCCATTGGTTACATGCCTTGCCAAAGTTTTCACAATGGTGATTCCAACCTGGCATGAAGCATGTTATTATATCATGCTTAAAGTTAATTTAGGGAAAATTTGTTAAGAACTACTAATTAAAGCACGTGTTTTGAAAACAACTATTAATTTATTTTTTTTTTATTATTATTTATTCATTATTATTATTTTTTTATATATAAGAAATATCATAAAGTTGTAAGAACTTTACTAAGCACTACCACTCTAAGGCCCTATTCTTTTGAGCTTCTGGGCAGAACAAAGCAGAGTAGAGCAGGAGTCAGCAGAGCAGAGCAGAGCAAAGCAGACCAGATTTCAGCAGAGCAGAGTAGAGCAGATTGAAACAAAGCAAGACTCAGCAAAGCAAAGCAGCTCTAAAGATCGGGACCTAACTACTTCAGCTAGATACTCCAGCATTTGAGTCTCACATTTTACCACTTTTTACATTTATGAAGGGTAATTTACTCAATTTAGATGGTGATTTTACGAGATAAAGGTAAAAAGTGGAACCTACATGCCAAATATTTTAGCCGGAAGTGTTAGAGTGGTAGTGCTAGTTAAACTTTTTACATATTTTTGGTAGTTCTTTTAATTTTTTTAATAACTAGTTATTTCCAAAACACATGCTTTAATTGATAGTTCATGACAAAATTTCCTTAATTTAGCGAGTTTTTGTTATGCTCTTTTAAAAATAAGGGTCTTACTTAAAAATCGCATGACCCATAAATAATATGTTGTCTAAGCCCTTACCATTTCACAATTTTTTCGTGTCGGGCCATGTCGTGCCGCCAGCCCATTTATTAACATGCTTAGGAGGGAGTAGTTAGATTCTCGAAATCCATAAATTAAAATTTAGGATGATGTAAAACAACTTCAATTTGGTCTCGTCTGCCACTGCCGCCTTTGTTAACCCCTCTCCTTTTTCTCTCTCTTCTTAACCCCGCAAAGTCCCCGACATTTCCTCTGCCAATCCCTGGAATTTTTGCGCCCTTTTCCTTTTTTTTTTTTTTTTTTTTTTTTTTTTTTTTAGGTTTTCACAGTTTTCTTCAACACTTCCAAAGAAGCAAAGATGCAGCAACACCACCAACAACAACAACAACACCTACAACAACAGCAACACCAGCAACAACAGCAGCAGCAGCAGCAGCAGCAGCAACAGCAGCAACAGCAACAACAACCTCAAATGTTTAACATCCCGTCTTCACAACCCACCATTATCATCACCACTGAGCAAATTCAAAAGGTACCCTTTTGTTTTTCTTTAAATCTGAGTTTGGGTACTTGAGTTTTTCAACTTAAAATATCTAAAATCAATGCTTTTAGTGACTTTCAATTAATGAGAAACTGGGCATTTATTATATTCTCTGTAAAGTCTTCTTTAATTAATTTGTTGTTAAAGCTAAATTTTCTTGTTAATTTTTTACATTTTATAATTATTGTGATTTTGATTCAGTATCTGGATGAGAATAAGCAGCTGATTTTGGCAATTATGGAAAGTCAGAACATGGGGAAAATCAATGAGTGTGCCCAGTAAGTTGCTTTTATGTGCTTAATTTATTGGTAATTTTTAATTTCAGTCTATTTTGCTGTTTTCTAATTTGAGTTGTGTGATTAATTTTGAATAAAATCTTGGCTCTCTTTCTGCTGTAGATGATTAATTTTTATAAAAATGGATATTTGTATCATTAATTGTTGCTGGTTGATCTATGATGATGAAATGAGAATTAAAATTGGAAAGAAGGTGACATGAAGATGTTTGTTTGCAAAAGGGGAGGTGATTTTGAATTGTGCTGCATTTTTTGAGTTGATTATGCTCTTTGACATTGCTTTTCTTGCTTTGTGTATTTAAAAGAATGGTTTATAACTTTAGGATATAGGAATTGGGTATAAGCCTTTGCAGTTTGCACACTAAGTAAATTTAATCATCAAATATGTTTCTAGTAATGTCTGGATGGCGCAATATGTTTCTAGTAATGCTCTATATGTTTCTGCTTTTAGCTTTTGCCAACATAAATGTCTTCTAAGAAGGTGGATGTCCCAAATTAGGATTTTATGATGATTAGGGTTTGGGGTTTGGGTGAATTATGAGCTTAGTTAATTATTGCCAAAAAATAAAATAAAAACAATTGCGAAAGCTATTAAAGAAGTTCAAGAAACTGGACGTTCCCCTTCTTGATTTTCTCATTTAGGTGGATGAAGTAGTATATGTTGCCAAACTACAAGTGTTACCAATAGTTAGAACTTAGAAGAAGCAAATATTGTTGTAGGAGTGTAGGACGTAGATGACTTTACATCTGTTTAATCACTGTGTGATAAAAATAAAGGGTAAAACTAAAATCAAAAGCAAGCTTCTAATCGCTTGAAGCATCTATATGCCAATTGGCCAAATCAATTTCTTACTAGATAAAATCTATTTTGGACTGTCCTAGTATTGCTATCAGACAATAGAGTGAATAAGCATGCTCCTTTGTAAGATAATAGAAAGTGAACGCATGCTGAAAGACATTGAGGTTTTGCTCTTCTCAGAGGCACATATTGAAGCATTATAAATCTAAGAAATCCTCACTTTATTACAAACGATGAATGGAAGGCTTTATGAGATTGAGATAGGGTTGTCTCAATGTATACGACTATATTGCATATGTTCTTTAGTGAAATCTAGGTACTCTTTTTGAGCTGCATGCTAATGGATTTTGTGAGATTATACCTTGTATTCGTGTTAATTTTTTTAGTATTCAAAATTTCTGGGATGGATATGTATTTTTCAGCTTTTGAATACCATGTAATTTGAGAAGCTTCTTGGAATTTTCCCAAGCATATTGGTAGTGGATGACCCGATTGCTTTTGTCATCATGGTTCCATTGAAAATATCCAATATACAATACCAGGGCAATGCTATGTGAAATTTAGTTTCATTGGTTTGTCAATTGCTTTTCCCATCAAGTGTCTGATTGAATGAAAACAGCTGCAGTTATAATCATTGTGTCTATCTTACTTATGTCTTCTTGTGTGATTATAGATTACAATTGTACTGTTTAACTAGAGTATATATTTTATTACATTGCACGTAATCCAGAAATATTGTGGATCATTTATTAGGAAGTCATTGTGTATGTTTTTTTTTTTGGCTGCTCTTCTTTTTCGCAATGCATATTCCACATTTTTGGTTGCAAGCTTAGTATTTATCTTTTGGAAACCGAATGAAGCATACTATTTAAGCCAAACCTTGCTTAATTATTTAAATTATAGGTCCAAACTTAAATACTGGCTTTCTTGTTTTATTTTTGTTGTTGAAAGCATTACTTTGTGATGTAGGATTTTGTTACTAAGCATTTCTATCTTAGTTTACTTAATCGCCTAAAAAGTAAAAACTGATTACTAAACCTCTTAACTCAACCCTCAATCTTCCTTATTTAAGTAGGTAAAAGGTTTCATGTTTTTCCTATCCGGTTCTAAAGTTATTGAGATGTAATAATTTTCAGTAGTGACTCCTAGCACTTTGTTTCCGAACTTAATTTGTAAACGCCTAAATTGAAAAATCACTTGCCAAATAGTAATTTTTGGAGCCTTGCACACCACATGTCAAAGTTAGACAACTGAATTAGGATCAACCTTCCACATTTGATATGCATCTCAAGCTCACCAGTCACCAGTGAGAATAGCTTACTATCCGTGTCATGTATGCGGCATTATAAGTTTGTGTAAAGGTGAAAGTTAAGACAAGAACAAAATCACTCTGTAACGGTTTAATTGTTTGAAATGCTTAAGTGTTTCGATTCTAGTATGTAGTCTATTATTTTTTGGTCTTGTTGCTCCAATGCAGAGAAGTTACCTGAATAATTTATAATTGACTTATTTAGCTCTGGTGTAGCACAACGCGCGAGCGCACACACACACACTGCACACATACAAAAAGAGCTTGATCTCTTTCTCCATTCTTCCCTGCTTACAGGTTAAAGTAACTGATGAACACTCCACTTAGTGGCGTTAGTGCACTCACGCGATAGCACTCCACTTAGTACCATATGGATTGGATAGTTACAAGCATTTGATACTCCTAAAGATGTCTCTTTGAAAGACTTTGGGTTTGAATCCATGATCTGTGATCCATGATATACAGTTCTAATCTTCTTACCACTAAAGCAATCTCAAATTCACTGAAAATGTTTGACAATTCTTTGTATTTTGAATCTGGTTTCAAGTGTTGGTGACTGTTCTTTATCTGTAATCTAATTAAGGGTCTTTATTTTTTACTTTGTATGTGGACAAATAAGTCCTTTGGCGCCTGTTTTATGATTTGAATATTTTAGGTATCAAGCTCAGCTGCAGAAAAACTTAATGTACCTGGCCGCAATTGCTGATGCTCAGCCGCCAGCATCAACAGGGCCTTCTCAGCCTCAGGTATCCTAGCTATATTTTCTCATGTTATATATACGTAAATCATCTCCGCTTAAACGATCCAAATCTCTTCAGATCCCCATGCAATCTTCCATTCCACAAGGCCCTTTTATGCCACCTCCAAAAGCTGCAGTTAGTCCACAGCAAGCAGGTCCTAGAATGCCCTTTGCCATGCAGTCATTTGACCAGCAGTCACCCGATATGCAATACCAACAATCTATGGCAGGTTCCATGGGCATGAGAATGGGAGGAAACAATGGTTTACGCCCTGCTGGCCACACTGGCTTTGGAGCTCCAACACAGTTGATGGATGCACGTAACAGACAAGATGGTTCTGAAGCCGGTCCCGGTGATGATCATGGGAAGTGATGTAGCAAGGTGCTCACTGAGAGAATCATGGATCTGCTTGGGTGATTAAGGTGAAAAATTTGCTACCCGAAGATAAGAAATACTTCACACTAGTTTTCGACCCAGCAGGTTTCACTGATTTCAAACAGAAGAATTTGGTTTGCTTTGCCAAGTTCAATAATTTTGCATAGAAGGGTTTGCCTTGTACATCAGCTGATTGCAGGTGGTTATGCCTGCATTAAATGAGATGGGTTGGATGTATGTCGACGCTTCAACTAATAGATATATATACATAAATCTAAGACGATTTATGGCTGTCCTTTTGTATGTTACAGCATGAACAAAAATATCATGTATGCATAACGATATTGTTCATAGACTCGCTTGCTCAGTTGAATGTTGTAGCTAACTACTAATTATCTTGTTGGTTGTTGCTGAGAAATTGAGAGCATCAACCATGAGTTATTTCCTAGTTACACTAAAATCTAATACGTAGTAAGTCTTGGACATCTTGGTTAATCCACTTAATCTCGAGGAGATAAAAAAGGAGAACAAATGCATTCTGGTCCTATCTCCTCATCGTTTCAAAGTAGGTTCCGATCTTGATTTTTGACTAGCAAACTTGTAATCTACGAAGTGTTATATAATCAATAAAGCATAAAAAAATTATCGAGTACCTTATACTAGCATTCCGTGAACCTAATTGAGGAATGAAATACTAGACTAGAATTAATTAAAACAGCCCTAAGGAAAAAATCGAAAACTAACTAAAAACAGAAATTAAAAAAATAATATAAAAAATACAAGGGTGAAAACGACGGCGTTAGAAGACGTCTCTCTCTAATAAGGAAAATAGGAGAAATCGAAATTAAATCGAAGAATGGCGGAACTCAAAAACGCCTCATAAAACATTTGATTAGGGTCGAATTTCCAAAGCTGAAAAAACCCAGAAATCAAAAACCAGTAGAGAGAGAAAGTAAAGAGGAGAGAGAAAATCATGGGGTACGTTCTTAGAGTAAGGTTGGCTTCATTCTTTGCAGGCGCAGCTGTAGCTTCATCTGCTGGTCTTTACATCCTTTACAAAGATTACAAGCTTGCCCATCATTCCATCTCTGACCAGGTTTTTCTTTTCTTTCATCAATTTTAATAATTGATTGAATTTTTACATACCCTTTATAATTTTGAGATTAATGTACTTTTTTTATGGGTTTTGATTGTGGTTATGGAATAAATGTCCAATTTATGTTTAATCTATGAATTAATTGCCCTAAATTGGCAAATGGGAATTGCCCATTTTGTATTTGAAGTTGAAATTGTAAGATTTTTGCTAATAATTTGCTTATTTCGGAGAATTTGTTTCATTAATGGTTTTTGATGGGTTTTTTATTTAATTGAAATGGATATATGATTTGGTGGAACTATTGTTGTTGTACTATACAGACATTGTTCAAAAGATGAGGAAAAATGGAACTTGTTGTTCGTATGCTTATTTCCGAAGCTGGTTAGTTGATTTATAGAAATGGTGTAGGACCAGTAGGTTAAGGGGGTTTATATTTTCAGAAACCATCTCATTATTAGATTTTGGACTGCTTAGGGTTAAGAAGACATACATTTTGACTCTCGAAAGCATGTTGATTGTCTGATAGGTTGTTCTTTTGAGTATTTTATGAATTAGAGTAGTAAATAATTGCTAAGGTTGAAAACTAATCCTTTTAGTATAGGCATTTTTAGTATTTAAGGGCTTATGGTCTTGTTGTGCCATCAATAGGGCTTATTTAGCTCTAGCCCAAAAATGGACGAGGGAGGATCTTTTTGACTTGTGGACATTGCGGTCTTCAATCTTTTGGGGTGATTGTGACCTCTATTTCATAAGGAGGAAAAGGGGAGGTTCTTGCAGTATTTGATCATATTGCCTAGGACCCTGAGTAGGTAGGTTCTTCTGGCAGCTGTTTAGGAAGAATAAGAAGGTAACACTTGCAGTCCCATCTTAGGTCTTATTTAGCCTAGACTATGTGAACATGGAACAAGGAGCTCACTTAAATGGCACCTTAGATTTCATCGCTGATGGAAACATGGAGGGTGCAGTCAATTGATTAATGAAGGAAAGTGGAAGGTGCAGTCAAAATCCTTTTTATGCTCCTTGTACTGTCTTGTCCAAGCTCTGTTCTGGGCTGATTTTAAGCTCAATGGCTTCAATTCCTCGGAACATATCATGGTTCTAAGTAGATTGCTAAATTTCTCTACCTGTCTACCATCAGACTCATTTGAAGTTTTATCATCCCCCCATTTAAAAATATAATAATCATTATTTAGTTTATCATTTGGCAAGTATATATCTCACATTCTCACTTGTCAAGGCTATCAAATATTGCCAAGCACATTCTTTTATTGACTTATCATGGATGACTGCTTTATGTTTCTCTATCTCCTTTGACTTTTAAAGCTATCTAGATTCAAACAGAATAAATTATTATCCATGTATACCTTCACATCATCAGCCAAATTTGAAATTGTCAGGCTCTTTCTTCCTTGCTATACTTTTTTTGGGGGGACTTTAATGCCTTCTTACCTTGCGTATCACTTGAGAGAACATGTGCTTTATTAGTTGCTGGATTTTTTTGATTTCTGATCAGATGATTGCTTTATTAAGTTTGTTTTATAGAAATAGTACTAAGTATCTAGTTTACTATATTTGTGAGTCGTGATATTGTTGCTGTAATTAGTTGTGACTATTTGCACTTGTTACTAGAAGATGATTAATTATAACGTTTGATAAGATTCTTCTAGGTTTCGACTGCTTGTGGATCTCAGTTTTGATTTTTGTATTGTATCATTTGTAGCTTTTTACTTATTGGCAACCTTTATTTTCCTGATTTTGTACGCTTTGTCCTTTTAAGTGATCAATTGGCATAATCCTGAGATAGATTTATGATTTTATAATTTTTTACATGTTTTGTGCTTCAAGTGTATACTTGCTGTAATGTTATTGATGCCTTGATGTGCAATTTCAACTTGATGCTTGTGCATGTTAAACCTTCTTGATCTGAGTCACTTAGTAGTTTATCTGCTGCCACAGAGAAATTTTTTGAGTCTGCTTGGCTACTTTTAATAGAGCAATGATACTTTTATTTATAAATGTATGAAATAAATGCTATAATTCTCTATAATATTTAAATCTGGTCTAATTTCAGGTAGATATCATGAATTATTATTATTGATAGGAAAATAGATGACATTCCCTGATATTGTGTTACATGTATGTGCACTCCCTTAGGTGAATGAAGACTATAAGGGCATCTTTACTCTTTCTTCCTTCTAGCACTCCTGTCACCAAAAAAAAAAAAAAGGAAAAAAAAAAGAATATTACTTTGCTTTATTTGTTGTCTAGAATCACTTTTGAGAAGTATTACGAGAACAAGAAGGGTTATGTATTTCACAGGACCCGCTAAATTTGTTTCTCTGAAGCTTCCCTGAACTTCAATGATTCTGAAATTGGCTTTTGATTGAGAAATCTTGGTCACAGATACCCATTTAGTGTTGATGGCTATGTAAACTCCACTACTATATTGGTTTTTCAAAAAAGCTTTTAACTAATATCAAAGCCTGTGAGATGGCCTCTATGAATAATTTATAAGCACAGGGAGACTCCGTCCTCTCCCTTTTCTTTGCTTGTTCGCCTCTCTCTCTGCTCTGCAAGGCTGTAACAGCCAGATATGGACAGCCAATGTTACCTGACCTACTTTGATCTCTTATGTTGAAAGAAGATGCTTAGTAGTTAGTACATGTATAATGGAGTCAAGCTGATATTATGGATGACTTCTAGAGCAATTCTTCAGAAGAGGGACGTTATGGACATTCTCTTTTAGCCAAAGCCTTTGATTACTTCGCAGCTGTAATTTTGTGAAAAAGCTACTCCGTAGTTTATTTAAATGCAAGTTCGTACTCTTACTATGTTTTTTTTTTTTTTTTGTTGCTTCTTTAGATGAAACGTCTTCACGATTCTCTGGATACGCGTGTCTCTGCTCTGGAGAAGTTAAAACAACCTGAAACTCCTCGACAAGAAGTGGAAGCAACAGAAGAGTTGTCATAGAGGTTTTTGACTGATTCTGATGTTGTACACTGTCAGATGCAGCAATTTTTCTTGAATACCATGTCAAAACGAGGTTTATAGAAGGGTTGTTTTTCCCCTGAAGTATAAATAATAATCATGACCTTTTTTCTCTTTGTTAATTGTTAATCAGGCAGTTGTGTTTATTGTCAAGGAGTTGGTTGTGCTCTATTTTTACACTTATGTATCAACTGTCGGAGGCTGTCATTGACAGTAGGTTTTTTTTAATGAAAGCATCTTGTCCAATTTACCATTATAATGTGCTAACAAAACTACAGTCTATGCTGGAGAGTTGCGGATGTACTCTATTGTATATGCAACTTCAAGACTCATAATTGGTGGATGGCATCGCCCGAACTCGAACCAGAGGCCTTCAGTGTGTTAGACTGACGTGATAACCAACTACACCACGACACCGTTAGGCAGTAAAAAAAACTCCACATAAACTCTTTCTAAGCTTTGGCTTATGCATGCCATTCTTACCAAGATAGCAAGGTGTAAGCCATTAAACATGGACGTGCCTGAATTCAGGCCAACTTAAAGAAGGCATTGGACGCATTTCATGGTAAGGCGTGGTGTACATGGTTCGAGCCTAGTTATGCTGGATGCTGATGCGGGCATGATTTGTGTGGAAAATGGACAGAAGAGAAGGTGGGATTGCTTTGTATAAAGATTATGAGCCAAGATTATGTGTTTTTTTTTAGGTCACTCCTGAGGAGAGGGAGGGAAAAACCGCCCCTCTGATCCTCAATTTTTATGATACATAAGGTAACTTGAAACATAGATAGCATGAAAAAACATTTCAAGATGAATCATGAATCTCCGTTTTTTATTAGTAGACACGTTTTGAATACTTTGTGACTTTTATGTGAAGAAAATATAGTCAAGTGAGATCTTGTTAGATTCATCACAATATATATTTTCAAATATCAACTTTTTATAATTTTTACTTAACGTTAATTAAAAATATTAACGATTGAATTTGTGCATGGACAAACGTGACTAAAAAAATGTGTTAACTAAAAAGAAACGGAGGAAGTACAGAGTAGAGGTGTCAAAAGTTGACCTGATCCGAAATACCGACTCAAACCCGATTATTAATCGACCCATTTGAACCCGAAAAAATGGTGACCCAAACCCGACCTGACCCGACCTGAAACCAACCCTAGACCCGAGTTGACCCGAGTATGTGAGACTCGAACCCGAACATGAACTGACTTGGAGATGACCCGACCCGAATGTAACCCGTAAATTATTGACTAGAACCGAACTCGACTTAAACTGAAATTGGCACAAACCCGTTTTAACCCGTCAAAACCGAATTTAACCCGACTTGTTAATAGTATGACCTTAATTCAACCCAACCCCTTCCTAACCCGACCTGAATTTAACCCAACCTGTTAAAACCCCCACCCGAAATCAATCCGACTTGTTATTGACCTGACCCAAATTCAACCCAACTTGTTATTGACCCGACCCGAATTTTACCAGACCTATTACTAACCCGACCAAAAAATTCAAAACCCAACTCAAAATCAACATGACTTGTTATTGACCCGACCTAAATTCAACCCAAATTGTTTCTGACACGATTTCAAATCACTTTAAATGCAATTTAGACCACCTTATTATTGTTGATCACAACATTTTGTCTAAGAGAGACCAAGTCGGTCCACACCAACAAAAGAAAGAAGCATCATCCTCAAATTTTAGAGTTAAATATAGTATATAGTTGTATGGTCAAAGGAGATAATTATCTTTCAAAATTATAGACTATAGTTTACTAGTATATTGCCATATATATTATAGTCAAAGGAAATAATTAGCTTGATAAAAATGAGAATTATCTATTTATAATTAGTTGAACCCGAATATGACCTCACTTGGAAATGACCCGACCTGATTGTAACCAACAAATTATTGACTTAAACATAACCCGACTTGACTCCGAGAATGACCCAACTTGGAAATGACCCAACCTGATTATAACCCGCAAATTATTGACTTGAACCGAACCCGACTTCAACCCGAGAATGACCCTACTTGAAAATGACCCGACCTGATTATAATCCGCAAATTATTGACTTGAACCTAACCCGACTCAAACCCGAGAATGACCTGATCTGATTCTAACCCGCAAATTATTGACTTGAATCGAACCCGGCCCAAACCTGAGAATTACCCTAACCCGTTTTAACCCTTGAAAACCCGAATTAAACCCGACCTATTGATCCCCCGACCCGAATGTAACCCGACCTGTTATTAACCCGACCTAAACCAACCCAAACCCGATAAGAAGTATGACCCGACGTGACCCGACTCAAGCATGACTCAACCCCAACCCGACCGACATAGGTTATGGAATTAATCCGAATTAACCCGACCCGAGTTGACCCGACCCACTGTTACCGACCCAAACCCGAACCGTTTATCCGAATTAATAGCTCTATTCGAAACCTACAAAATTTCTTAAAAAGTGTGGATATTAGCCTTCAATTTTGGAAATTTTTGACTTTTTTTCACCCGTAAATAAAAATTGCCGAAATTTTAACCATGGTCCCTAATACCCTCCGGTAGTCCAATTGGCTGGGTGGAACCATCCAATTTACCTTTAAATCGTCAATTTACCGATTTACAACTTGCACCGATTTCATTAACTCAAGCTTACCTTGAACATTTATGACAACATATAGTAATCATATATGAATCCAAACGACATTATATGACTCCGAGATGTATCTCCTAAAATCTCAATGCTTTTCAACACCACGCCCCGAAACATTCAAAATTTCTCAAAAATAGAGATATCTTTACGTTTCCACTTCTGGTGGCAATTTGAATTACCTCCACGACCTCTACCATATCCACCAGATCCACGTCCACGACCTCGGCCACACAATTGACTACGACTGCGACCTCGACCTCGACCTCGACCATTACTGCTAGAATGGTGTTTGTTTTTAAGACTCTTTCCCATTATGGGATGTCGCATTCGCTTCAGAGAATGGAGTAGAGTCAGTAGGACGTGATTCATGATTTTTCATTAATAGCTCATTATTTTGCTCAGCCACGAGGAGACAAGATATCAATTTAGAATATTTCTTGAAAACGTTTTCACGGTATTGTGTCTGCAGGACAACATTGTTTGCATGAAAAGTAGAGTATGTTTTCTCCAACATTTCTGCATTCGTGACTTTCTCCCCACATAATTTCACAAACATTGTTGAGTTATATTCACTCACAGACTTAAAGTCTTGTAATCTTAAATGTAGTCAAACATAACGAGCTTTTGGTAATATCACAGTTTTCTGGTGGTCATACCTCTCCTTTAGATTACTCCAAAGGACTTGTGGGTCTTTAACCGTCAAATATTCATTTTTAAGTACTTCGTGGAGGTGATGACGAAGTAATTTAATAGCCTTAGCTTTATCTTGAGGTGTTGCACTATTACCCTCTTTAATTGTATCACCAAGTCAAATTGTGACGATCAAGTACTATACAAGTAGAAGATTAGAGAGAATAATTGACATGGATTAAACAAATCACCTAAATATTCATACGAAGTTAGGCAAACTGTATCAATATATTCACTCATAAATAATCAATACAAGTTAGGAAGATTATAACATATTGCATCAAAAACATTCATACCGCATTATTGCAATTACATATATACGTACCCTTTTTTTCAGCAGAAAATTAATTAATAATTGATTAATTGTGTATAGAATAGAGTACAAACGTACCTTTTCCAGCAGAAAATCGTAAGGTTGCTATTTACTTCGTACGTCTACTCCCTTTGTATCACGTCTATTCTGCTTCGTACTTTTTTTTTTTTTTTTTTTTTTTTTTATTTTTTATATGGCTATGGTGCTGATAACGTGTTAAATATAGAGAAATATATGAGAGACTATTATTCAGTGTGTATACTTTCCATCTGTTACGGGATATATATATATATATATATATATATATATATATATATATATATATATATACACACATACATGTAGATTATCTAAGGATTCATCGGATAAGATCAAATACCCGTCTCTAGAGTATTCTAGATAACACATGGATAATAGTCATCCACTTATACATCTATATCATAACAATTAGCCTTTAATTTTTGAATTTTTTGACTTGTTTTTGCCCGGATATTAAAATTGCTGAAAGGTTTACCATGGTCCCAAATACCCTCCGGAAATCCAATTGGGAAGGTGGAACCATCCAATTAGCCTTTAAACAACCAATTTAACGGTTTACAACTAAACCGATTTCATTAATTCAAGCATACCACGAACATTTATGACAACAAATGATGATCATATATGGTTCCAAACGACATTATATGACCCCAAGATGTATTCCTTAGAATTTTAAAACTTTTCGACACCGGGCCCCGAAGACTCCAAAAAATTCTCAAAAAGCGTGAATATAGCCTTCAATTTTTGAATTTTTTGACTTTTTTTTTGCCCATAAATAAAAATTACCGAAATGTTTACCATGGTCTCTAATACCCTCCGGGAGTCCAATTGGGTGGGTGAAACCATCCAATTTCCCTTTAAACGGTCATTTTACCGGTTTACAACTTGCGCCGATTTTATTAACTCAATCCTACCACAAACATATATGACAACATATAATGATCATAAATGATTACAAACAGCATTATATGACACCGAGATGTATCCTCTAAAATCTAAAAGTTTTCGACACCAAGTCAAGAAATCTCCAAAATTTCTCAAAATGCATGGATATTAGCCTTTAATTTTGGAACTTTTTTAACTTTTTTTTGCCCGTAAATAAAATTGCCAAAATTTTTATTATGGTGCCTAATACCCTCTGGGAGTCCAACTGGGTGGGTGCAACCATCCAATTTGCTTTAAACGGCCAATTTACCGATTTACATCTTGCACCGTTTTCATTAATTCAAGCCTACCACAAACATTTATGAAAACATATAATGATCAAATATGGTTCCAAACGGCATTATATGACCCCGAGATGTATCTCCTAAAATCTCAAGCCATTTCGACACCTGGCCCGAAACCTCCAAAATTTCTCAAAAACTGTGGATATTAGCCTTCAATTTTGGAATTTTTTCACTTTTTTCTACCCGGAAATAAAAATTGCCGAAATGTTTACCATGGTCCCTAATACCCTCCGAGAAGCCAATTCGGTGGGTGGAACCATGTAATTTGCCTTTAAACGATCATTTTACCGGTTTACAACTTGCACTGATTTCATTAACTCAAGCTTACCACAAACATTTATGACAACATATAATGATCATATATAGTTACAAACGTCATTATATGACCCCGCGATATATTCTCTAAATTCTCAAGACTTTGCGACATCGGTCCCCGAAACCTCCAAAATTTCTCAAAAAGCGTGGACATTGACTTCAATTT